CCCGAAAGCAAATCAGGAGTCGAACGTACGGATAAGACATGCTTCATCCACTGCCTGTTTTTCTATGCAGGAAAGTCAGTTTCACCGCGGTGGTGGTGCAATGTGCATCAACAACTCAACGCTTCGGAATCTCTTCTACGACATCATCCATGTGGTTGAAAACTGTCCGTTGTCACATTCTCCGCCGCCACATGTTTTCCCTTGGCTGACTCTTGTTCCTGCCGACCGCATGTCAAATTAGTGAACTACTACAATCCTCGCCCACCAGGTGCTATAGCACCGCACTAATCTTGCTAATGCCATTATTTCTACTTCTGGGGCAATATTGACCCGATGGTCTTGACTTCTTATAATCCCTGCTTTTATTTTTGTCTTATTTGATTGTATTTTTGCCTTATTCCAATGAACTGTGATTTGCCACTTCTTGACAATGACAGATTGCGTCTCTTATCAAGACTGGATCTGAACCCTAATCAGCAGTTGATTTACGCTCGACTTCGTGAAGGGCAGTCTACTAAAACGGTTCCTTGGCGTTAACAGCCCTCGGTCAGCTGATATGCGGGGCTTACTGATATTCCAGAGAGGAGAGTGATAGCAAGTATCGTTATTCCTCGAATAGGGCGTCATAAATGCTTTAACCACTTACATTCGTCTGGACGCAAAAGCTCTGCAGTGTAACGCTGTACCATAATATGACGACTGATAAAAAGTCCCATCCAACTGCTGACCGAAGAAGAAGGCAAAATAATAAGGACAAATGATGCGAAACGCTAAACCTGCTAGTGCTTTCAAAGATGCAGTGGCCTTGAGGCAAATGTTTTTCTTTACAGAGCCAATAGTGAATTTGATCACGCAATTACTGACATTGTAAAGTGGCCATCGGTCTAGAATGTCCGGCTGGAAATGTGACAAGTTCCGGAAGAGCTGTGAACGGATAGATCTAGACGAACGCGTAAACTGAGCAAACAGCTAGCGAGCAAGTTTGCCAAGCCTGGAAGTTCTTGTAAACTGCGATTGATAAGATTAATCGCAGATCACTTAAAGTGTGGGAACTGAAAATTGAGACTGAAAGTCGGGGTTGCATAGGACTGTCGATTCATATTTAATTTCAAACAACAGCCCATGTCTGAAGAAATTCTGCAAAAAAATGACCATTAGGATTGTTCGCAAAACATGAAAGAGGACACTGGGACCTCCCAGCACGCGGATTTGTAAGTTTCTGACATAAAGACCTAATTGCAGTCCACCGAACGGCAATTCAGTGGGTGGGAGTGTAAAAGAATCAGGACGTGCCAGGAGAAGGCCAAGATCAGATGATTCGTCAGAACCCATCATCCAGGTCGCTGTGGCTATTGTCACTCGGACCTCAGGAAGCGGTTTCTAGCGAACCTCATGCCATGGTCGAATACGCGGCTCCTCTGATCTCAGCTCACGGGGCCATTCAATCTGGGCTCATGTCTAGGCCAGGACTTGTAAACCCCGGCACTGAAAGCATTAAGACCTGCGACCTCGTTCCAAGAGTTGGGTCGACATCTTGTCAATTGCCCTGATTTCTGATGCAGAATTGAGGCTTTGGTCGAGTTTGGAGGCGAATTAACCGATAAGTTGACACATAAGACTTTAAATTCTATCAGTGAGCCCTCATTCCAAGTGATTTCATTTTCCGCCTATTCCTTCTTAAGGATCACATACAATAAATTCAAAGAACGGTTAGGTTTCAAATCATATACCGACAAAACAGTCACGTCGGGAGGGACTAAGGCGTAAGTCGACTTCTTCCTATATGCTTACCGAATTAATGACTTACTCTTATTCTAATTTGATTACACACAAATTCCTAAAGTGCGACTATGTCTCTCGAAGAAACCTTAATGAGCTACTCAAGTTCCTGCAATTCATTTTGACCCAACTAGAATGACTGAGCTATCATAGGGTTATTCAGCATGATAATTATGATAGGTAGTCAGTCATACGAGGGATGGGCAGTAGCTTGATCCACCCCCATGTGCTGTTTTTAGTTGGCAAAGGCGGTTTCTGTCAATAAAACTTACCGTCAGAATGTCTTTGCTAGGTCGATGATAAGGGCTTCTTAAAAAGTTACTAGGTTGCGGAACCTGTACAGGATTTCAGACTACTGTCCCTTGATAATCTGACTTAGAGTACCTGTTAGTCGTGAATTGTATAAAACTTTGTAGTCTAACTACTGTTCCGACCAGGGGAACGAGGTTAGAGTACGACAACATTCGTAAGTTCCAAAGGCACTTGTGACAACAGGACAATTTAACCCATTCTCATTGAACCAAAAGCAAGGCCTTCATCTGTGTTTGCTTGAGCAGTAACTAAAACGGAAAGGGACAGCGAGTCTTTGTGCTATCTGATGAAGATTAGAGTCTATTGTCCTCAAGGCTCAGTAGTGTACATGAGAACCGGGGTCTGGGAATTTGTGCCCTAGGACGAGTGCAGCTTCTGCAGACTTTTAAAAGTTATTTTAAGTCCCTTCGAATTCTAAAGAAAATCTGCCAGAAGGACTAAAAGAGGTCCAAGGAAAGGCATCCAAGCAGGTCACTGCACGGTCGTTATGGGAACAACAACTCGTTCAAACAGATGAACATTGATGAAGTGCAGTCGCGTTAAATCGCAGAAAGCCAAATACGGAAGTTTAGTGAGGGTTGAGGACGGTATCTTATGGTAGTGATCGTAGTGGAGACCTTGGATACATTTTTTCATCATAAATGGATCGTTCTTCTTAAGGTTAGCCATTTATCCTTTAATCCTGATGGTTTGAATAATTGTGCAAAGTATCTTTCACGAATGGGCCCTTGGCAGCATCCTTCTTGACTGTGACAAGTGAACAGTACGCAACACCAGACTTCGTCAATTAAAATCCGTTTTCTAGGAACACAAGTACAATAGGCGGGGGATTACCTATGGAGATAAGGGATACTGTAATGGTGGTTCCAGGCTTATTTTTCGCTATCAGTCAGCCATACCTGACCTCAGGTCCGCCGCACCCGCGTTCTTTTGGTTATTAGTCCACCGCTCTCAACGGATCCGTTGTCCTGTCGGAAGTGATCGGGTAGTTTCCATCGCACGCAGACACAGAAAAACACCCAGGAAGCCGGATCTGACGGCCAAATGGGTATATCTCCTCCACCCTTTAAGCATGCAAAAAAATCTGTTCTCCCTACGCGGCACGCGAATTCTCAGATACCTCTTGTGTCACGAGGGGATGGAAGCAGCTGATGGTCTGGTAGTAATTTTTATTTTTCTAGAGATAGTTGCTGACAGAGTATTATCCGATGCTGTCTAAGTTCTCTATCCCAATCTGCAGTGGTTTTAACCAACTCTCACCAATGCAAATTCCAAGTGAACAGACGTCGGCCACAAGAAGAACAACCCGGAGTCTGGAGAGTTGTTCCTTACATAAAGGGAGTCTCCGAGGCGGTTTCACGGCTGTTACGACCCGCCAGAGTGGGCATTGCCCATCGACCCCAGGCAAAAATACATCGCCGTTTGATGCAACCCAAAGACAGTGCCACCCACTGAACCCCAGTAGTCTATCGAATACGTTGTAACGGTGGAGACTGAACTACGTCGGGGAAACCGAACGGAAGTTGCAGACCCGCCTACACTAACACAAACTGGCAACTCGGAGACTAAACCCAAACTCACAGCTTGCGACCCACATCGGCCACAGTTTCGACTTTTAAGGAGCAACCGTCTTAAGTAGGGCACGTCAAGGCCAGAAACTCTCACACTTGAGGCTTAGTACTCAGATGCCAACTCCGTCAACAGGCATCTAGACCTTCCTGCAGCCTTTAAAGTCCTACTTCACCACATACGCCATGACCAGGACAAGACAATCATGCAGAGCTTAATACCGAGCAAACATGGCCCTTCGACTAGTTAACCCAAAAGGGGGGCGCCAACGCAACAGACCCCAATTGAAGTGACGACACACAACACAAGTGGCCACCATCATTCACAAACGACGGTCAGAGCGCCAAGAAAATCGACCAGCGCAAGGCCAACCAATTCGGTCGTTTATTCAGAATTCTGGTCGGTTTTCGCACTAAACGCTTTGATAATGGAGAACCGGTCACGCTCTCCGAAATGTCAGCAGTATAATTCTCTTGATCCGGTGAGTACTCAATTTTTCTCAGACAGATAAGTCATCATCTTCCGTCGTGGCAATACGATCCAGGAAGACTGACTCCCCAGGCGGTGAGCAATCCTGATCCGGCAATGAAGGGGCAAATTCCATCGTCGCCTGCAGCCCGTGCTATCACCTGATGCGGTTCCTCGACCTACCGTTAATTCGGTGTGGTTGACTGGAGAAGTCAACGATCACTCGCGAAATTCGCCGTGACTAATTAATTTGGTTTTCTCATAGAATTAACCTTTAAAGTGATTATCTTACTTGAGAAATGGCACCTGGCTTTTTTGGCTCTTCAGGCAGAATACATCAAGTCTATTTCTGGCCAGCAAACCTGGGCCCCGCGCAAAGGGCCACAGTGGGGAAGTACTCCGGCCGAACATCAGTTCTTTACAAAAAAAGTTTCCCATAAATGTGATCATTCACCGAAAGAGCGGCAATTATTAGCTGCAGAACCTGCGCCGTCAAGTGGGCTAGCGACTTCCAAAGGTCAAACAGGCAACCCAGCAGCAAATAGAGCTCAACCGGTCCATCCGGTTAGGCTTACGTCAAACCACTTTTAGAACCGTTAAATTTCTTAATGTAATTAGGAATGTCGGAGGACTTGCACGCCTGTCAGAAAGAGCCTTGCTTCATATGAAAAAATTATATTAGAAAAATCGGGTGACAAACGTCACAAGAAAATGTAAAAAGCATAAACCAGAAACTTCTGTTTTGATAAAGGTCATGGTCTACGGGTAAACCACCAAAGATCATTTTTCTGGTCGAGTACAAAAAGCGAAAAAACAGGCTTGGAAGAAAAAATGGAAACAACAGGACATGAAACATTGGTCTAAAGAAAGTTCTAGGATTCAGTTGCTAGAGTATAGATGATGTTGAGATGTTCGCTGAGTTCGGGGGATTTGTTCGTAGCCATCAGAACTTTCATTGTCAGGGTGTCGCCGGAGCGAGAATAGATTCGTTGGAGCTAATTAAAGAAACACAGAATTTCGGGAAGGTAAGTTCATCTTGGTGTTGGATATTACGGGTGTTGTTGAAAACTGACAAAGTGATACGCAGGTCTGGATTGTAGGCTATACAACATAATTGCTTGAGCTGCCAAGAAGTAGTCGTGCGAAAACTGGGCCATCTGTAAATCTGGAGCCCACTGTGATATTAGCACTAACATCCTGGTCAAAAGGCGATCATGATATTTCGCTTACACGCAGCGAACATTTGATAGTGGTTGGGCTATAAGTTGACGGACATTGACGAAAGGCCGGAGAGACAAATACCTGTCTTTCACCTGTGGACCTTGATTCTCATCTCGGATGGGGGCGTTCCACCGGGTATGTGGCGCTTAGTCTATGCATATATATAGTCAGCGACCGATCGCATGAGATGTTGGTCGAAATTCTGAAATACGTTCTTGGCTAAGAAAGACTAATAAGATGATTTGTAAAATTGATTATCATGCGGCATAATCTCACAATATTTCGGACTTGCCGGGAGATTGGCTTTTGAATGCTGTTCTTTTCGGCCTGTAAAAACTGCGCTCGGTGTAAAAATGGACACTTAATTAACATGAATGTTTCGCATAGATTTTCGATGCCCTCGTAAATTCAAATATACAGCATGTGACCTAACTCATGAGAGGTGTGGAAATTTACGAATGATTGCTAGTCACTCGCAAACCGACACCAATGCATGGACCCAATATCTATGTTAATAAATACCAGGTTTCTTAGAAGCAGAAAATCTTGAAAGCGTCACAAATTGTTGCAAAAGTGCAAACTTTATTTGTTGATGCACTGACGTGATTTGCTACCAAATGAGTACAAGGGATATTTTGTGTATGTTTCCTATGAAATATATTTAAATTTGTAAAGGCGTCGGAATAAATGTGAAAAAATAATACTACTTAAGCACCCATTTTTTCATCGAGTGCATTTTTTATTGGTCGAAAAGAACAGCATTCAAAGGCCAACACCCTGGCGAGTTCGAAATATCATGAGATTATGCCGCATGGTAATTCATATTACAAGCCTACCTGAGTAATCCTGGTCGAAAACGCGTTCCAGAATTTCGGCCACCATTTGAGATCGGTCACTGACTGTAAATACATAAGCAGCTACATATTAGTTAGTCTCTTAGTAATAACACGCTCTGAAGCTGCTAGGACGACCTTCACGGCGAGCTCCCTTCCTGCGGGGTATAAGTCAACACGAGGTCACGCTGGTCACATTCGTCTGTGTGCCTACGTGAACATTCTTTCCTGCGCCAGAACATATTTATCAGTTTTTGTAAATAGTTCTTGAGTGTCAGAGTGAACCTGAAATGGCAGTTGAAGTGTGAACCTACGAACAGGCATTAAACAATTAACTTGCAAAATTGTAATGGCCCAAGAAAACTGTTATTTAAGATTCTGAGTTGTCTCCAAGTCACCTCCTGGGCTTCGAAGAACAAATTCGAGAATGTTGGTCAGTCGACTAATAAAGATTAGGCTGTAATTGAACGGGAAGTTCAGACCGGTTTCCGAAAATCACGAGAAATATACAGTAAAATCATACCCATGGCAGTGAACAAAGCCAACTGATAATCGAATAGACTGTCCCGAAAAAGTATCAAAGATACACCTATAATCGTAAAAACAACCCCTAGTTCTCTGGCCGATTGAGCTCTATACAGGAGGTATGTGAAGTCTAGCAGTCTTCAGCCTAATAACAGCACGAGAATGAGTATGATAGCATTGGTTCGCAGAGCCAGTCGAACAGACTAACTTCCTACAGCATATACCAATAATGCATTTTAGTTGTAACAAGAGACAATGCTGTTGCCAGGAATGTGCGACTGCGGTAACTGGAAAAGACAAGGAAGATGCAGACGACCGCTTTTAGTTACTGCTGCTTCCAAGTCAGGTTCTCCTTTTAATTGTCGCCATTGTCTTACGATTTGAACTAGGACTGAGGCCCTCTCTTCCCTGGATAAGTTGCTCAGTGAACAACAGTGCTGTTGGGAGATCGACATAAACTGGGGGTAGGGCGCTTAGTGACAGTCGACTAGTGTTGCGTGACAGTATGCCGACTGAGGTAGCGACGGCCATTTACAGACGAAAGGAATGTCATCCTCGTTCCTGAGTAAAATGAGTAGTGCGTTAAGCCCTCCGCCATTTCTATAATTTACAGACTTCACATCAGCAAACTGCATCGGACGGTCGAAAATGATAAATCCTTACGGAAAGGCTCACCTGCATAGTCTTGATCTCATGATGAGAAGGCGAACCAGAAGAGGCACTCGCAGTACACAAGTTCAAACATCCAACGCGACTACGTTCACTGCCTGGCCCACAGAATAGGTGGAGAACTGGTGACATGTGCGTGAATCAGTGTATACTGTGAGGCATTGTCCTTAAAAAAGGCAACGCGGTAGATGCGCTAGAACAACAGGGTGGGTCACATTGGATTCTAGTAGGCAATATCGGGAATGTGCACCCATAACGAATGCCAACATTCCGGATGCAGCTACAGGCTCACTTCGCGCCAATTGGGATCCAAACCGCCCCCCCCCCCCCACAATATTTGTTGCCGTAGTGAATCCTGGTCATGCATTTATCGCAAACCAGCGAGTATGGTGGTACGCCGTGCCAGACGCCCGCGGTCTCTCCCGTCTCCGGTCTTCTTAACTCTGTCATGGCACCGGACCCAGGTGGGGAGGAGAGAGTGTGGCGGTACTGTGCAAGTCTACACTCACGATAAACTAATTCACGCTCAAGTCACCGTCCCTGTCCTCGCTTTGCTGTGGAGCACACGGTGGATATCATCGAAATCGATGGTTGAACTGTCGTCAGAGTAATGGAGAGTGGAGAAGTATCTGCCGCTTTCTACCCATCACCCACCTAGCTACGATGACAAAAGAATGTCAAACGACGGAGGGACCTGTACTTGGTACAGCTCTGGTCATGCCCGATCTAGCCGACCTCGCTAATGTCGCGGATTGTGCCTTTTCACGCGTGACGATCAACGGAGGCGGATGCGGACGGAAACGGAGACCGAACATCAAAGGTCCGAGAACTGCTTCTATGTCTTGACGAACTGTGGCAAGTCAGGTTTTGAGGTGACTCGTTCGACTTCTCCAGGTGGACAGTGGCGCTGGATCGGTGGCGGACGACAGATAAGTGTGCAAACCACATTAGCTGTCTTTCTTGGATGGCCTGAAATATTCTCACGATGTTGTTGCAACGAGTGCGGACTGTCTCATTTGAGACGAAATCGGTGTACTTAGCGCGAAGGATGGTTCCCAGGCAGCGGTGGCGAAATATCTCCAGTCTTCGCCCATCTTGTACGCCCTCAGCCCAGCATCCACAATCGTAGAGAAGGCCTGGCCGGACGGATGCACGGTAAACGCGGATCTTCGAGGCAATGGAGATGTCGTGTAGGCCCCACAGGCACTTTCTAGCGATTGATAAAACCCTACGAGCAACATCGATTCGGGAGACATTGCCGTCCATGGGACAGCAGGCTCGCCCTAGGGTATTTGAAACTGTCTACTTCCTTAAGTTGACAATCATGAATTGTGAGAGATGCCTTGTCCTGGTCAGGAATGCAGATCAGAAACACTTTGGTCTCTCAACAGCTTATGAATGAACCAACCGAAGTAGCGACTTCATTCAACCGTAACAACAGACCGTAGATCACCAAAACTTGGGGCTAGAGGCATGATATATCAGCGTATTTGAGATCAGCCAGTCCGCGTCCGGATGTAAATTCTACACCATCCGAACCGCATAGGGTCGGATCTTATTTCGTAGACACACCTGCAGTAAACAAGCCCCAGCCGCCTGCCATACGGGATCGGTGGTAATAGGGTAAGTAAACGTTGAGGACAAACGCTCGGTCCTGATCAGTAACGTTCAGCGTTCTCTCACAGTCGCATCGAGGACCACGCCAAAAGAGGTCTGTAAGGTGACTGTTTGAAGTCGCCGGATTCAGTCTGGCCATTCCAGGCCCCGGCAACAATCGGCAGATCACAACGGGGGAGTCTTTCAGCTGACACTTCTAGTTGCTAGTAGGTCTCTTGATCATGCTGTTCGCTAGTCGATGTTTGTGGGGACACGGAGGCGACAGAGATGTTCGTAGCGACCCTTCAATCACACGTAAGCTATTCGGTCGTTGACTGGTCCCCATGCAAGTAGTGCAGGGCTCATTTGTTGTGAGAAGGCGATCGCCACACCGCCTCTGCCAAGAGAGTCGCGTTGGTAAAGTGAGAGGTGATTCTCCAGATCTTTATTTCCCGGGCGTCTGAGTCGGGTTTTTGGAATTCAAACAGGCTGCGGATATCCACGTTGTATTGATGAAGACCGGTCGCCGACAGACTGTGGGTACCACGGTCCAGGGACGTTCGCGCATTCCTGCATCCAATACCGAGTCTGTTCCCCGCCGAGCAGTCCAGATTGCACATTATTCGCCCGCACCACTAGGCCAGGGTTGTGTGGCGCGTCGGTTCTCACGGACGCCATATCATGGATCGTAATACTGTAATCGGACATTTCCATGAGGCTTCAGGCGGGTCTTCAAAACAGGCTGATGCCTGGCAGCCGCTGAAATTGTTTGTTCAAGGTTTTCTCCTCTAGCGCTTTGGCCTACGAACATAACCACAAAGCGACGGTAGCATGCAAACTGATGTAGTGGCGGTTCACAGTCGCCAGGTTACAGTGCTGTCATCGTGGTTTGCGGCATATTATAAGGCAGTCGGTTTGCCAGACCCCGGCTCTCAGTGTCATCATAGCATTGTCGTTGCTGGTCTGCGACTGCTTATTTACCAGGCCCGAGATCCCGCTTATTTAGCCGTTAACTTTCGCCGAAGGCCGTTACATTATTTGCCACCTGCGGACGCGCCGAGTAGCCAGCAGTTAGGGTAACGGGTAACCCCCTATCGAGACCGGAGATAAGTGCGAGCACAGTGGCTGACGCGGCTGGATAGCCCGTTTACGCGTGCCATACACGACCTGGTCCCCAGTCCATATGTACCAGGCCACGTGGAGTGAGGGGTCACGGGTCCTACACCAGTGATAGTGCCGTTAATGTATCATTGAGGGGTCGTTGCAACCTGACTCGCAGTCTTGAGAAGGACTGAGTGATCTCTTCAGTTGGCAACCTTCCAAGCCATGACTACTAGCTCATAATGGTTGATCCAAACTGGTCATATTTATTCTGGTGAGGAATGTGCTGATTTGTCGTTGGAATGGACTCCCCAATACGGATCCAACCCTCTTCCCTCTCCAGTGCAACAGTCGAGTGTCCGTGCCTGCCAACCAACGGGTGATGGGATTGGGCACATTGGCTGACACGGTGTGAAGATCTACTTCTACGGCGCGCTAAATGCATGCAAAGCAAAAGTTATTAGTTCGCGCGAACTATGTGTATTCCAATAAACGCCTGGGGTGAGTCAATCTGACCTCCATTTTAGTCCGGTGCATCTGCAGTACAACCTGTTGTGGGGTCACTCACAATAAACGGGATGAGTCACGACACCCATGATTGGTGACACACAACAGACTGACACTCAACCCACTTACAGTGACGTCAACGTAGACAACTTAGCAAGGCAGGTTGGGAAACAAGTTAATGGTTCAATGTTTTAGGGCCTAAGTTCTTAGTGCATAACAGGTTGGATGGAGAATCATAGACGGCATTTTGGTAAGGATCGGGTGAAGGACCCCAAGCATCTGTGGCATACGAAGAATATCTTCCATACTTATTTAAATGGGTTTTAGTCAGACACGATTATTTCGGTTTGGTGTTTCATCGTACAAGGTTTGGTCGTCTACTGTAGACGGTCTGGTGCATTATCTACGACGACCTCAGTTCAGAGAGTTGATAAGCGATCGTTGTAGACACTTAGTGTTTATTTTTTGTAATTGTCCTGCTTAATTGCGGTTGCTATATGTCAATGCATGAAAAACTTTTCGTCCCAAAAGCCAATTTACCAATTATCTATACTTATTTTGCCATTCCTCTATGCATACATAGGCCTCCCCCTTCGTAAAATCCCTAGTACCACCTTTCCCGTAAGACAGGCACCTTTGGCTGGTCGTGTGAGTTTTGGGTCCTTCACCCGATCGTCGCCGGCCATTTATAGTTGTCAAGGGAAAACATGCAATGTGGGGAATCGAACCCGGACGTCCGAGAGCAAGACGGTGTCCTATCAATTATGCTAATAGAACATATGACGTACCTTCGTTACGCGAGGTTCTTTATTGAAGGGTGCAGAGGCGATCGACTGAGATGTGAGGACGATGCTAGAAGAATCCGAGTCCTCACCGTTCAGAGATCCACAGAGGAGATAGGCTACGCCTAAAGGTCATAGGAAAACTGAAGCTGCGGTCATTAAGTAAGACAAGCTTAAATGACGTAAAAAAGGACGCAACTGGCCAATTAAAGAGGAAAACAAATATATGGTTACTATATTGGGAGTGCGCACACCGATCGGACTATGGGACCTGCTCGTCTTGCTGTGTCTTGGGGCTCAATGTAGGGCCCTAGCAGGCAGTGGTAGAGCGGTTAGTAATATATGCAAAATTGCCGACAAAGACGAGGTAGAATGGAATGGCCATCTCTGGCTTATTAGTCGTCGTCAGTCAGCCCTACCTAAACCCAGGCTTGTCGCATCTGCGCTTCGAACCCGCGTTCAGCACCCTACCAAATGAGCCATGAGGTCCTTGTTCTGTCAATTGTAATCGGGAATGGTAACTATGTTAGAAGTGCGGTCATCAATAGAGTTAAGGGATCTGTTCATCCCGTTGTGGACTTGGTAACATTCGGTGAACAAAGAGCGCGAGTTTAAGGCTCAGGTGCGGCAAATCTGGGTTTATGTAAGGCTGGCTGGAAGCCCAGTCTTCGTTCCGGGATACACATTGCCCTGCGTCCTTTGAAATCTGCCCAGTAGGTCACAATGGTTGAGAAATCTAGAGCCAGCCGGCAGAGAAACCCTCGTTGGTTTTAGCCGACAGTCTATCTTAAACCTTGCTTTCTTGTCGCGAGGACTAGATTACCACTTGCATCTTAGCCATATAGATGGCGACAGGTCACAACCATGGTGGGCACTGCATCGTATAGTCCGATAGAAGTAACCAGAGAAGAGGCGTCGAGCAGTTTAGCTCAGTACTATTGTCGGCCAAATAAAGGTTAAACTTATCCTTATTCTAATAGACTGGCTGATCACGCATTCGTCCCGGACAGAACGCAAATACCGATCGCATTGCTTGACTTGGTGCTCTAAAGTCCGAGTATGCTGCGGCTTTAAGAGCTATAGACAATAAAAGCAATCACAGTTTTGGAAAGAGAAGAGTCCAGCTTACCTAAATTGTCGGCGACGACGAAACAAACCTGACCGTCCGTATGGCACTTGATGAAACCTGACTCGCGATGCATTGGTTTGCCATCCCTGAGGGCATTTGCCCTAAAGGTTGAAATGAGGTGTCCTGAATATATAGAGCAGTAGCAGGATTTTAAGCCAAGAGACTACAGATCCAGAAACCTTCATTTTAAATTTACTCCTGTGATACCTGTTTCACAGACCTTACTGATTTAGAAATTTGAAACGGATTGGACCGGAAATGCCAAACCTTAATGATGAGAAACAGCTAAAACGTACGAACGACTGATAACAATTATGAAACGGGTGTTTTCGCATTATGATTCCCTTGCTGCTTTTTGAGGAGACATCTCCTTTTGACTGCCACAGAAATAAACGGATGCACGTGCCATTTTAGTAGTTCGCAAAAAGGTCTCAGGCTAGTTGTAGTAGCGACGTTGCCATCGACGTATTATAAAAGTCGCGGGAGACCGAACTATCGTTTGATATAGACGTGATGCGCTCAAAATTGCATACAATGTTATAAAAAACACGAGAGGAAAAGAGTCAACTTAAGAAACCGAAGAATGCCGCTACATAGCAGCCGTTTTTCAAAAGGACGCCTCTGCCATAACGACCATGCTGAAAACGACGGTTTTGTTTGCGAATTCCCCCTTGCGCTACATAGACATTATAAAAAAGCCTGTAAACGTCGAAAGCTAGTCTTTGATTTCTCCTGATTGGCCGAGATGGCCGGATCATTGAAATGCGTTTGTACAAGATTGGAGGGGTACCGCTAAAACGCAGGATGTGTCTGGTCCTAGATTTCCTTTCGTAGGTTCGCGTCATGGAACTTGAGGGTTCTATGAGAAACAAGAACACCGGTGGGAATCAGTCGGTATAGACTTTCCCGCCTTTGCGGGTTAGGAGGTTACACCTCGGTATGTGAAGACGTTCAGGAGTTAAAGGATTCAGAGGTGACATTGGAGGACGATAACACGAGTGAAGACACCGACGGTGATGCTGTGGGTCACACTCGTCTAGCGATAATAAAGATGACGAGCGATATATGACCTCGAGGTGAAATCGTACGTCTGCATATGCCAAATTAGTAGGCCGGAAATGCCGATAAGGTAAGGCCCCAACGGCACACGCTGCGTACAATAAAGAAACGTCCCTCTATGGGTCATATTGTCGCATAGCAGGCTGAAGTGGGCGGGGACTGTAGGAATAGACTAAGTCGACAAAGGAGTGGCCGAAGTCGCTGACAAATTACAGCTTATCCAAATTGCCAATCTTTCATTTTTTATTTTTTTAACGGCAAACCTTAACCGAAAACCGCATAAACTACGCAGTGCTGCACCTGAGTCGACGGACACAGTAAAGGGGCTGAAGCAATGAGGTGCGAACGATTAGAAATTGCGAAAAAAAGAAATGTGACAAGTTATCCTCTAGGTACGTGATACGTTTTGCAAACTACCAGTGTTCTACCTTAGTCAATATACGAAGTTATTTCCCTTTTTAAACCAGATGCACTACAAAACGAAGATATCCGGCCGAGAAGCAGTTTACGACCTAGTAGCTGATAAAAATTCGAAGTAGCGGTCATTAGCAGGTAAGGACGGTAACTTTGATGGGTTCGTAATCGCATAAAATGTCTCTTAACACAAAGTTGTCACTACAGACAGACCTTACCTAATGCCCGACTCGCGTCGATGAGTCTAGGAAGTTTAACGGACACACCCCGGCATCCATTAAGACTTGCGGTCGGCACCAAACAAAGGTAAACTAGAGTGCTTCATCATCGGTAGAGTTGAGTGGAGGAACCAACTCCCCCGGTGCACGGAAGGACACCACAAGGAACAGGCTGTAAAAGATCATCTCACTGAGGCGTCTACGGTGGCAGCCTGGGATACGATAATACCGTTGCAAGGGTTAGGCCCCTAGACTGACGTTCCATTCTGCACGTAAATGTAGATCTACCGTCCGCACCTTGTGCCCGCCCGCGTCTCCTTTGAGACGCTAGACTCTTGTGAGGGTACTTCCTACGCGAACTTTAGGTGCTATGTTCCAAGGAAGAAAATACGCGAATTCGTGAAGCCGCAGATCCAGAAGCCCGAATTTTCGGAGTATTACTGTACAATGGATAGAAGACCCGACGTGACAGTTGCTAAACCTGGGTTCACACATGCTACTAATTGCACCGTTCCGTCGTATAGCACAATCGCATTCCTCTTTCTGTCCCACCTGCATGTCCAAACTACCGAGATTCTGGCCACTAGCCGTGATGGGTTCCTGCCCAACAACAGCAACATGAACTGCACGCCACACTCTCAACACACATTTGAGTTTGGAATTCGAATGGTCGGAAAACCACGAATATACAGCAAGACGATCGCCAAAGCATCCCACTTATCGTCCAAACTACAAACTCAATCTAATGAAGATGGTTATCGGGGACTGCCAGGAGTGAACATTTAACAACAAGTTCTTAGCTGAAGATCATAATGAGACTGAAAGGACTTACGTGTAGGAAAATGAGGGTTGACCGATGCTACTAATTTCAAGATTTTCTTGATAATTGAATGATCTTGATGTACCGACCGTGCCCACTCCGGAACCGTGCCACTTACCAAGGAGGAATCTCAACTTGTCCATAGAAATGTGCACATTATCCATGGCTAAATGCATAAAAATGAACCCGGATTAGGTCTTTGTGACTGGATAGTCAGACGGACAGCAACATCATAGTGACGTACGAGTAAAATCGAAGGTCAAACAACACTCAGCATTTTTATTGGCGTAGAGCAGAGTTTCGGTGCCGGGACATAACATAGTAAACATACGATATCAAGTGCAAGGACTGACCACGCACATAATTTTCCCTTTACATGTGCCACACATGCGCTTTTCCACGTCTGCCAAAGAGCGCTTAAGAACGGCGATAGTCACTAGGAGTCGCATTTAGAAGGAGTGAGCACAGTTCAGACTTCGGTCTCAGTTATTAAGTTAGTGTCCCAGTAAGATTATAGAGAGGAGGTATTGTGTATTTGGGGTCCGCCCTCTTTCTGACTTCATTGTGACCATGGTAGGAGTGAGTCAACTCGTCTGCAGACAAGACTGGGAACAGCTGCTGCGCAGGAGCTATATCTGTTTTACACATGCCAAGCACCTATTATTCCTGATCCACAACGAACCGGAGCACGCAGGCAGTTCACTCATAAAAAATGAAGGCTTAATTCTAGACACGAGGGTTCAAAAGCATCCATTTTGGAGCAAAATAACGCCACATCCTGTAGTATTAGTTTAAGGGGATGAGAAGTCTGGTTCAGGAATCCCAACTTGTCCAGCATCTCGAAGGGCCTTGAGGTAGTTCTTAAGTGCAAAATTGTACTTTAAAACAGACAGCTGCGAGTTTGGCCGACGTTCACTTGGTATCTCGTCACTGGGCAAGCAGTGTGACCAAAGTAACACTGCTTCTTCTATTGGATTCTCAATGCACCTCAAAGAACCTCGGCTTGGGTAGTATGCTATCCGAAAGAAAGTTCGGCGTTGTGCTGCGTGAGCGTATAAGACCGTTTCTGAGGACATAGGCGATTAATAAAACGGGAAGAAACGACAAAACTGGGAATTTTGGACACGCGGCAGACATATTATTAGAAATGTCTGCAAAAGAGACGATCTCAGAATTATCTCATTATATTAGATGTGCCTGAAACCCAGCGACCTATTTTATTTCCATATTAACAGACCGTTTTAGTATAGTAAACAAAAAGTACGATGAGCACGTTCAGAAAATGCAGGGATGAGGGAGTCTGCACATCTAGATAGCTGATATGTACCCGTCGAGTCCACGGGAGGTGGAAAACAGACGTGAACAGACGATTTGGTATGCGAGTGGACTTCGGGATACGAAGTAGAAGCAGCCGTGTGCCACCGGTCGCTCAAGAACGGTGACGCAAGAACGTAATGAAAAGGGTCACTGCTGAATGATCTTTTATCGTTTGTGCGGTTTCGCTGGTTAGATATCCACCCACGAGTTTACTCTGGAAGAATTAAGTTCAACTCATATCAAGCCTACTGGCTACCACAGCTAAACAGGTTTTCCAATTGCATCCATTGGCTGATATTACGATGTCGGGGGCTCAACAAGCGGGGAGTATACCAGATACTCAGGCTGAAACTTGTGACCCTCGTACACTTTGCAGGATTCCTTCAAGTTCAAAAGAATATGCGATTCTCAGTAAATTTCTTGTTCCAGTGATTGCATTTTTTCTGAACTGCTTTCGGAAACTCGCCTCCTCGTTTCTATCGGGCTCTTTTGGTGTCTGCAACTAAAATTCAAACTCCGCGAGCCCGGTGTGGTGCAACATAGATGCAGAAAAGTGATATTAATACGACTGTGGGATGATATTACAAAAGGCGAAACCGTTACGCGAATAAGGAGCCGCTCAGCTTCAGACAGCACAGGCTGCAGCCAGTCCCATGAAATTAGATGACGGTTAGAATTGAAATCCATTAGACTACATAGCTCTCGGGGCGCACTGGTGCGTATCCATGTCAGGTTCTAACCCGATGTCCTCAAGACGGAGGTGAGATCACTGGAACAAGAAATTTACCGGCCTAATGTTTCGGATTTCTGCTCGAACCCATCATTAGAGACAGTCGCAGATAAGGGAAATGGTGGCACAAGGAGTGCAGTATATATAACATGTGGTTGCCGTGGGACCATATGCGTACTGTAATTAATAGCTCTCGCAATCACTATTGGGGTCGTAATTGATGCGATGACGGCTCTTAAGTCCGCGTCCGAGTCGAAATCGCGGCAGCCACGTGTTATAAATCCTGCACTCCTTGTGCCCCCATTATCCTTATCTGCGACTGTCTCTGATGATGGGTTCGAGTGAAAATCCGAAAGGCCAGGCCAATAAATTTCTTGTTCCAACGATCACATCTTCGTCTTCTGAACTGCTTCATGGAGACCGCCTGTTCGCTTCTATCGGCGATGTCCTCTGTCAACGTTGGCCAAGAAAGTGACGCGATGACGAGCTCAGTTACGGCGTAGACCATGTACCGTCGGGAAAGGAGGATTAGAGAACTTCCAGGTTAACGGCGTCAAGGGTCCTGCCCATGTCAAGGGCATCCGTATGGAAAAATCGAACCGTCTAACGACATTGTGGCAGGCAACAGTGACCCTCTAACCAACTTTATTTCAAAGCGACTGGCGCGAAGACAAGTATATTCTCTGAGTGTATCACTAACAAGACTAAACTAAGACCTGGTACTATCCCAGCCACCGCCTTTAAGGCCTCAGACAGTTGTGTTTATAGACGGATTCACATGTGAAGCCACCAGCGGCATCAAACTCGCCTAAGTTAGTGGTGATACCAAGATGCCGTCCCACCAACTGAAAATAGCAAATTTGGTGACATCCCTGTGAAACAACACCGGAAGGATGAAACAACGAGACCAGCTTCAGAAACCCGTAGATCACCGTCCTGCTCGAAAGACGCGGCGACTAAGTATAACAGTGACTCCTGTAAACATTTAGCCTTACTCCGTGGACTTCGAAAATTTAGCAGCCCCTAACCGTGAGGTTTCTCGGTAAGGAGGCGATAATGCAGGACACCAGAAGTCGTGCTACGCAAAAGCTGCCAGTCTTCACATCGTTACTCCTGTATTCTATGGCGCGAGCCTCCTCTGCAGTCCGATCTGCAAAATATTAGACACCCTTGAGAATGTTACATATTCATATTGACCCAACTGTGAAAAACTCGGTGCCTCGGCGGGATTCGAACCCATGACAGTGAGGGGAAGGCTTTAGTACAGCCAACGCTCTAACCACCTGAGCTACGAGGTCCCGCCGGACGACGCTAGTTTAATCACATTTGGTTCATGTTACTCGCCAAACTTACCCAAACGTCTGGAACCCACCAAATCTGATACAGTTATTTGATTGCCCAAGCAGGATTTCCTAAGCAATGCACCTAGAATCGACCAGATGACTACCACCGAGTTTTTCAGTTGGGTCAATATGAATTATTCAAAATCCGCCAAAACATATATGAATTACATGAGCCTGGTAGTCAACTGGTGGATTCTACGCGAATTACTTAGGAAATCCTACTTGGGCAGTCAACTTCCTGTATCCGTCCACCAACTGGCAACCCGGAGGCTTGCTAATGCATATGCGCCCAATCCAACGTGACTTTGCCAGGAGAACTGTCAGTTACACACCCATATACGTTTACTTCTGTTTAACAGTCCTCGTAGAGACATTAACAGGTAACCGAGGGCGCTCCTAGAAGCTTCTATAGGGAGCACCGGTTCTGTTGAATTCAAGAAGACATGCTGGAACTCCAGGGGCGGACGATCGCCTACTTCAGTAAGTGCCGGCCGTCCGCAATAATTACCGACAACTGGCAACTACAAGTGGTGCCGCAGAAACCACCAGCCCAGACCATAGTTGGTTTCAGTGACGCCAACCATGGTTAGTATTTCATTGAAATATTGGTTTATACAGTTCCAAAAATTCATGCATTCCAACCGATATACATGCGAGGTTTTCGGATATTATTTTGTTATATGTTTTCCGCAATCACTTTTCCCGCCGTCTCCGGAGCACTCAAACGCATTAGACGCACTGAAAGGCGGGAATCACAGCTGGTTCTTAGTGCGCAGAGGACAAACAGTAGTGTAAAGATGTAGCCTCAGTTTTCCGATTTTGGCTTAGTCATGACAGTTCCCCAACGTCTTGCTGGTTATCCGCCGCACCACGGCGCTGCGCTAGCCGCCTCTCAACTTTTGTCCTATTGACAATTGAAGTCTGTCATATATGACAGTTTGCGGCCTCGATCACCCTAGTGGCCAATCCTCTGCGTTTTCCTACTTTTCATTGTCATGCTTCATCTTGCCTATTGGTCTATTCATTAAACCTACCCGCATCGACTGGACACCCCACTAATACCGAAAACAACTGATTTCGGGGAACCTTTGACCGGAAAACGCCTGTCCGATGCCTCAAGACGTCATCGTTGTCCTCGCTTCCCGGATAAGTAAATACCGTCTCCAGGACACCCAGTCCCGTCAAATCACCTCCCCGTGTTCCATATCCTGTCTGAAATCCAGCTGTCTTTCCGTCGTCCTGAATAATCCCCAATATTCTACTTAGGCCACTGCCTTGTGTTCTTATTGGGGATCAAATAGGAGGGTTTCGACAGTTTGCATGGTTAGGCCGCTTATATTAGTCCAGAAGACTGATTGGGCAGAATGTGAATGCTTCCGGTAGATCCTAATTGGACCGGGGCATTTATATGTGGACGGGGTGCAAGTAAGACATGTGAGTGATAAGGGAAATCGATTATCTTTTCATACAAGAGTCATGGCAAAACAGAGAGGAAGGAGTAACCGACTTTTGGCCACATTAGGCGTAAAGCCTACATCAGGTTCGTGTGTGCGCACGAGATGGGTTTTTAAAACCTGGCCGTCGTCTTCTCTGCTGTTGTTAGTAGACGCTGGCCCGGTGGCTTAGTGTAGTTCGGTGGAACCATGTAAATCGCGCGGTAGGCTTCGCTGGGGTCCATATGATGCCCGGAATCAATAGTACACGCAAAAGTGATGCTAGCTACCGTACAGGGTTTTCTGCCCCTTTGCGCCGAACGAAGGACTAGGTTGCGTTTCTATTGGAAGAGTACGAAATTTCAGAAGTTCGCATATTGTTCAGCTCGTAGCAGCCTGTTATCTGTCCCCTCGTTCTACTGTTTACTCGTCACGACTGCGCTCGCCAACCCTCGATTTGCACTCCCGTCCACACCACACTCCTGGTCGATAATTTGCCACTTCGCGTGGGCTCGGAGCCAACCAACGCAACTTTCTATCGCTGATTGGTTACAAGTGCACACACACGGGACGCCGCCATTGCGGACGTGATTTTGAACAGACAGGACAGAGGCAAGAAGCACACAACACCTTTTTGGTGGTAGCGACACACTGAAGGCTCCGCAACTGACGCTCTCCAGAACGAACGCTTATCTCTGACACAAGTATACAGCCAACTTACGGCGACCTGCCCTGTGTACAGAATAAACTCGTTCTCACAACGTTCTGGCTTCTCCCATTAGACGGAGCAAAATTATTGTATGTGGTTATGTTGATCTCACGTCCTTGATCACTACAAATTGGTGACTCCGACGTTCCACGCACAGGACTTTGTCAGACCTTCCTGCAGTCATCCGTCTCTTTGTTCACCATGATAGGCGCACCCGCCACCTTCGTGTACCCTCCCTCTGCATCGCATGTCTCTGTTAAATTGCCACCCTTCTGGCCGCGGAATGTGGAGCTTTGGATTGCACGTTACGAGGCTGAATTCGAAGCCTGCAACATTACTCGCCAGGAGACCATGTTCAACCATCTGCATCGCAGTTTCCCTGACGACTATGCCGAACACCTTTGCGACCACCTCATTCAGCGTCCTTTGGAGCAGCCCTACGAAAAATTGAAAGAGGCTCTAGTAAAGCGCGTGGCCATGACTGAGGAGCGCCGACTACGATAATTCCTCACTGGTGAAGAGCTTGGCGACCGAAAACCTTCTCAACTACTTCGGTGGATGCAGCAACTTGTTGGCGAGCGCAAATTTGAGGCTTCCATTCTCCGTCAACTTTTCCTTCAGCGCCTCCCACTCGACGTTCAGACAGGTTTGGCCGTCTCTCAGGGGAGCATCGAAGAATTGGTAGAGCTTGCCGACAAGGTCATGGCATTGACAGTACCCGAAACTTCTGTCGTCAGTCACGCCGCCAGTCCCATTTCCCAGGAATATGATCAGCGCATTGATCGACTCGAGCAGTTGGTCATGCAACTGACACACCAACTCAGTGCCATTACCGCAGGTGGTCCGCGGCGATCGCGAAATCGAAGGAGAAGTTCCTCACGTTCCCGTAGCCGCCGCCAGCAGTCTTCCAGCGGCGTGTGCTGGTATCACCAGCAATTTGCAGAAGCTGCACGACGTTGTCTGCCGCCTTGTTCATTTAAGACACCTCGCACAGCCTCGGGAAACGACCCCGCCCGGCAGTAGAGGCGAGTGCTGCCGGGAGCGCTGTCAATGTTCAAACTCGCCGTTTGTTTCTCTGGGACCGTATCGCTGGCACCAAATTCGTCGTCGATTCTGGTGCCGAGGTTAGCGTGGTTCCACCAACTCTGACCGAACGCACAAACCGCAGCTCTTTTTGTCTAGCAGCTGCCAACAACTCCAGCACCCCCACCTTTGGACAGCGCTCCAACACACTCGACTTGGGCCTTCGTCAGATTTTTCGATGGGTTTTCATAATTGCCGACGTCTCCGTCCGCCTCATAGGGCTGATTTCCTGACTCACTTCAATCTGCTAGTCGACTTGAAGAACCACCGTCTCGTCGACAACCTCACTAACCTTCGCGCCCGTTGTCAGTCCGAAATTAACCCGCACCTCAACTCTCTTACTATTATGCCCATCTCCCACTGTCCTTTCCGCTCACTCCTCAGGCAGTTTCCCCTCCTGACCAACCCCTCATTTCGAGAAGTGGACATCAAACACACCGTCAACCACCACATTTCCACCACTGGACCTCCCAAATCTTGCCGACCACGTCGTCTTGCTCTGGACCGTTTGAGGGTTGCCAAGGCAGAGTTCGAACACATGCCTGAGCTCGGCATCATCCAACCGTCCGACAATTGTCGGACATCACCTCTCTATCTTGTCCCAAAGAAGAGCGGCGATTGGCGACCGTGTGGTGACTATCGTGCGCTGAACTCGGTGACTATACCTGATCAGTATCCTGTCCCGCACATCCAGGATTTCACACTCTCGCTCCATGGTAAGCGTGTATTCTCTAAGCTTGATCTTGTTCGCGCTTATCATCAGATTCCAATCGAGGCCAGTGACGTACCGAAAACGGCAGCTACCACTCCCTTTGGGTTATTCGAATTCACTCGTATGTCCTTTGGTCTGAGTAATGCCACTCAAATTTTTCAACGGTTCATTGATCAAGTGTTGCGCGGTCTCGACTTCGTCTACGCTTACATTGACGATTTATTGGTGGCGAGTTCTGACCCCACAGAGCATGAAGCTCATCTCCGACAACTGTTAGAACGACTCGAATCCTACGGCATTATCATCAATGCCGCCAAATGTGAGTTCGGCGTCCCCAGTTTAACTTTCTTGGGTCATATGGTAGATTCTGAGGGAATCAAGCCTGTCCCTGATAAAGTTTCGGCCGTATCAGGTTTCCCAGTCCCGAAAACCATCAATCAACTGCGCCGTTTCTTGGGGATGGTGAACTTCTACCACCGTTTTCTCCCTCACGCTACCGCCATTCTGCAACCTCTCAACAACCTGCTGACCAAGTTCAAAATAGCGTTGTTGATGACAGATGAGGCCGTCATATACTTCAATGAGGTCAAAAACGCTCTTGCTCATGCAACTCTACTTGCTCACCCTCGCCCAGATGCCCCCTAACTCTCATGACCGATGCGTCCAGCACTGCCGTTGGCGCATCCATCCATCAAACTGTAAATGGTGTCCTACAACCCCTGGCTTTCTTCTCAAAGAAGCGCAGCCCAGCAGAGACCCGCTGCAGTGTTTTCGGACGAGGACTCCTCGCCGTCTATCTGGCAATTCGGCATTTTCGACTTTTTCTCGATGGTCGCGAATTCGTCATACTTACAGACCACAAGCCTCTCGTTGGTGCTCTAAGGGCTTCGCCCGATCGATACTCACCCCGTGAGATTCGTCATCTCGACTTCATCTCACAGTTTTCCTGCGACATTCAACATGTCCACGGTAAGGAGAACGTGGTTGCTGATGCTCTTTCCAGAATTCAGGTGAACTCCGTCACGTCACCTGCCATCGATTTCACGCTCATGGCTGACGCTCAACGCACCAATGACGACCTCTCTCGCTATCGCCATACGGACTATTCTCTTATTCTCCGAGATGTCCCTCTTCTCACTCAAGCTGGCACCACCACTTGTGACATTTCTACTGGCCACGACCGTCCCTTTGTCCCAGCCGCTATGCGCCGACAAGTAATCGATACCCTTCACGGCCTATCCCACCCTGGAGTCCGGGCAACAGTGAAATTTATCACTGACCGATTCGTCTGGCCCCACATCAATCGGGATGTTCGGCGTTGGGTCCGGTCTTGTTTACCCTGTCAGCGTGCCAAAATTCATCGTCATACTGTTACCTCGTCAGGTACATTCACCACTCCTGATGCCCGTTTCAGCCACGTCCACATTGACTTGGTAGGACCTCTCCCACAATCCAACGGTTCTACCTATCTTATGACTTGCATTGACCGTTTCACTCGGTGACCGGTTGCCGTACCCATCCCGGATACCTGTGCTGAAACCGTGGCAAAAGCTTTCCTGTCGCACTGGGTGTCTAATTTTGGAGTTCCTGCCACCGTCACTACTGACCGTGGATCCCAATTCTAGCCCACGTTGTCTCGCGAACTCACTTCTCTCCTCGACACTGAACGACTTCAAACGACAGCATACCATCCTCAAGCAAGTGGCCTCGTCAAACGTTTCCATCGACAGCTCAAAACTGCCCTTATGGCTCAGTTCGATCCTTCTCGATGGACGGATAATCTTCCCTTGGTGATGTTGTCTCTTCGTTCCACCATCAAAGCCAACATCGGTTGTACAGCAGCTGACCTTGTTTATGGAACTTCATTACGCCTTCCCGGTGAGTTGGTATCTCCTTCAGAAAAGCTAACGTCTTTCGAGCCTTGCAGTTTTGTGGACCGACTACGTACTGCCATGCGCACTCTCCGCGCACCGCCCACTCGCTTTTCACCAACTCGTTCCTTCATTCCTCCCAACCTGGACACGTGCGACTTCGTCCTGGTCCGGCAGGACGCAGTCCATCGACCATTGCAACCACCATATGACGGGCCTTACAAAGTCCTTCGACGGTCTGACAAGCATTTTGTCATCGAGCGCAACGGAAAGACGGACACTGTCAGCATTGATCATGTCAAACCTGCATTCCTCGACGACTGTCAATCGACCTTACCCCAGCCGTCTTCTCCGTCACAGGCGTTGACGCTCACGGCGCCGTCTGACGCCATCCCCTCACCGATGTGCCGAACCCGATCCGGTCGTCATGTCCGCTGGCCCGACAGATTCGTGGCTGGCTAGCATATCGACCCCTACACTTCGTTTGGTGTCTGGGGGGAGTTGTAGCAGCCTGTTCTCTGTCCCCTCGTTCTACTGTTTACTCGTCACGACTGCGCTCGCCAACCCTCGATTTGCACTCCCGTCCACACCACACTCCTGGTCGATAATTTGCCACTTCGCGTGGGCTCGGAGCCAACCAACGCAACTTTCTATCGCTGATTGGTTACAAGTGCACACACACGGGACGCCGCCATTGCGGACGTGATTTTGAACAGACAGGACAGAGGCAAGAAGCACACAACACCTTTTTGGTGGTAGCGACACACTGAAGGCTCCGCAACTGACGCTCTCCAGAACGAACGCTTATCTCTGACACAAGTATACAGCCAACTTACGGCGACCTGCCCTGTGTACAGAATAAACTCGTTCTCACAACGTTCTGGCTTCTCCCATTAGACGGAGCAAAATTATTGTATGTGGTTATGTTGATCTCACTTCCTTGATCACCACAATCTCAAGGTTTTTCCTATAGATGCTCCTCCTGGCGTTGCCGTCAGCCCCTTTGCTTGGAAAAGTTTATGGGAATATGAGTGAACCTACTGTTTTCACCCCCGCCGTAAAGTTAGTTTACGTTTGTGCCTGATTTGCAGCATCTGTGAGGGCATCTGTGTTGATTTCTACAGTGACGATTGGGAGGAAATCATCTTGGTTTCAAATGCAATATCTTCGCCTTTTTTCTGGTCGTGTTCTGAAATTCCTCCTACTTGCCCATGAAGGCATCGGCCAATGGTAGACCAGGAGGCCAGTCCAAAACAATTCTGTCTGTTCGTATACGTAATTAGTTGTCGAAAACGAACTGGACATTTTGTGTGCGTCTTAGTAATAATTCATTTAGTGCGTTCGTTTGTATGTCCTTTTCCTGCTAATTGGCTGATAAGTAACCGCAGGCATAGACAACTGGCCCTGTGATTGGAACGTTTTTGAAGAATGATGAGACGCCTAGCGAAGAAAATTTCCATTCTGCTCGAGTCCAAGTTCTCGATGTCGTCAATAAATTCACATTTATTGGAAGTCCACTTGTGTTCGCCAACTGACCTTTTGAATGGTTTTACCTATACACAACATATTTCGAGGTCAGTAGGACTTTTGATTGTGTTGACCACCCTCTTCTTCTCTTGAAACTTTCTTCTTTTAGGGCAGATGGTAAACTTCTGAATTTAATATCATATTACTTGGGCGCCCGCACACAACGGGTTAAGATTTCCAATGTTATCCCCAACCCCAGTGGCGCGAGGAGTGGAGTCATTCATAGAAGTGCATTTGGCCCACCATTATTTTGCCTTTTTGCCAACGACGCACCAGATTTATTTCAGAATGGTAAGCCTGTGGCGACAGGCTAGGCCGAGAGTGAGACTCTGGCTACCACGACTTTCAGGCCCGGACCCGAAAGGAAAGACAAGGTGAACGCCTATGGGAAAGATAGTATATTTTGTACAGAGGAACTAGAGAAGGAGGGAGAGAGAGTTGGCTGCCCGGACGAGGAGACGTCCAAAGTCGGGTGAGCGATGTCCAAAATGTCTGAGGGAATGTGTCACAGCCTCTTAAGTTAGGACACGTCTGGCTCGGCCTTGAATCTGATTGGTCGGTTGAAAAGCCGAGTGGGCGAGTGATAGACATCCATGGGCTCACGTGTTGACACTCGCAAGAAGCTCAGCGTTGAGACAGGCGCTCGGAGTGCGGCCACGACAAGTTCTCCATGTATGCCGGTTATTTAAAAGTTGCATACCGATATGAGCCAGCAAATCGTGACACAATTAAATAAATAATTTTATTGAGTACCCTTTACGGTACTTTTGTAACCATAAAAATGAATTTTTGCTTAAATGTTAAAACAAGTAGGCAGATTGTGTAAATATTCGGCTTACAGTTATAGAATAAACAGCCACATATCAAAACGGTCAGCAAGCAGAGATGAAAATGAATTGGTTTGAGGACTTTAGAGGAGAAAAAAATGCCGCTCGTGAAAGGGTAAATATGCGGGTCGAACAGGACTGGCCTGCATATGATTGTATCTAAGGGATTCGAAACATACATCTTCCAGGCAGCACTCCTGAACCAAATGAGGTTATACGTCTTGATGTGGCAAAACGAGACGCGGTCGGTTACAGTTCGCTTAGAAACCAGCCGAATTGGGGACATTAAAGGCTAGGATGGTAACGAAGGCGTAGAGGGAAGGATGCAAACCCGAAACCTCCTCTCTGGCCGACCAAACTACTAGCAGATGGTGAAAACAGCGGATTCCGCCGTGTTCGTCAACAGACCACTTGGGGTCGAAATGAGGAGACGACATCAAGAAGCGCGAGAATCATCGGTTGTGGTCTAGGATTCGAGGTCGTAGGGGCCAGAGTAGATCCTTGATGAGGGTCGACGACCAGGAGTGCGGGGTGGCCTAGAGCGTGCACGTCAACCTAGCCTCGCTACTCCTTTGAGAGAATTCATCAAGGGATCGCGTTTTGTGAGGGACACGATGCATGAACTGAAAAATTGCAAAATCAAAACAAGTGAAATTTACGATGAGAGATACCAGAACGCGAAACAACACGCAGAAAGGAAAATGCGAGCGGATACGGTAATCCAGTGGCAGCGGTCCTTTCTTAGTGTCATAGAGAAAGTTTTCCGAGAAGGGTGAGCAAAATATATGTTTAATCGAGTCGGTATTCAGATAAAAGTGCAGCCTTCTCTTAAAATTATGCAGATCATCTGAAGATCTTATAGTTATTGGGAGGCAATTCCAGGGGAAAGTATACCTGGGAGCGAAATGAAGAGAGCACTCAGAGGTGGAGGAAGCGGTAGGTGGTATAATCAAGGAAGGATAGCGAAGATTCTATTGTTCATCAAACCAAAGAATGGACAACAATACTCAAGGATGGGAGATACAAACATTTGATAGAGTCTTAATCTAATTTCAGGAAGATAGAAATTGTGAGCAATAAAGCCACAGATCTGGGCAGCTTTGGCCGTAATCCTGCCGGCGTGCGGCGAGAGATCAAGGTTATTGGTGTAGATTAAACCTAAATCATTGATGGTGGCACATTCAGTCATAGGTGTGCCTTGAAAGACTACTGGGTTGGGGCAAGCATACAGGTCCAAAACACATGTAGGACATTTTGATAGAGGGAATTCCATTAACTATTTTGAACTCCAAGCTGAAACAGCGAGCAAGTTGGCATGGATTTGCACCAGGCAACGTTGGGTGGTGGATTTATTGAATAAATATGCGTATCTAAGATCATTAGCATAAATAAGTGATTGAGAATGTTTAACTGCCGCCAAAATCTCATTTATGTACAGCAGGACCAAAAAGGGACCTAAAACGGTTCCTTGTAGGACACCACTTATAATAGGGCTCTAATTGGAAAATGAAGGTCCCACTAAAACCTTTTGTTTACGATTAGATCGGTGACTTGATAAAGTCAAAAAGGGGACTGCGATTTCTCAGAGCTTCTAATTTAACCAAGAGTCTTCTATGTGGCACTTTATCAAAGGCTTTACTAAGATCAAAATAAATAACTATGGCAGATAAACGATCATTACCAGAAGAAATAAGAAGATTGAGAAACTACATATGACACGTTTCACAAGAGCCATCGGGTAAAAAGCCATGCTGGAAAGGTCTAATGGCTTGATTGGCTATAAAAAGCAAGTAATTTTCATCGCAATAATTTTTTGAAAGATTTTGTCAAGAGAAGGTGTTTTATGGACACCTCGATAATTTTGACCATTAGAATGACAGCCAGAATTAAATACTGGAATAATAATAGAAGTTTTCCAATAGTAAGGAAAAGACCAATTATTCAGAAAACCTGAAACGAGTTTACTAAGCAGAGAAAGAAAATCTCCTAGCTGTTTCGTAAGATAGTTCGGGATGCTGTCAGTTCGTACTGAGTGCGAGCTAACAAGCTGGCTTATCAGTTTTGGAACACTTAAAGGAGCAGAATCAATGATGGTGAGGGAAGCATCAGACAACGGCGGAATTGAAGGGATTGGGCCAGTCTCAGTGGCAAAATGTATACTAGCTAGAGTATACTACTGGCTGCCTGTCGACAGTTAATGAATATTACGAGGTTACCCGCTGTGGAGGGAGGATGCCAGTAGTTAAGATAATATCTAATACACCGTCGTTTCTGGCCGAAGGGTGGAGTAATTGGAACAAGTTTGAAAAATGAACGGTGTCCAGAAGCTTCTGGAATTAATGAGGGAAAGTATTTATGTGTGAGTCCATTTCTGGCAATTTAAAAACGCCTACGATTATCTTGATATTGAATAAAGTCTCTGCGATTATTTCAAAGAGTTCAGTGTATTGTCTTACATTTCCCGAATAACAAGGCGGATCATATGCGCATCCGATTAAGGCTTCCACGTTTTGCGGAAGGATTACCAAGGCGAAACAGAGATTTCCAGAGAAGCAAAAAATATTCAGGTCATAAGGCGTATGCGGATCTGAGGCTCCGATGTGAAGAGGCTAACCACTGTCATGTTTTTCAACGCGGTCCTTTCGATATAAGCTTAGACTGTCTATAACGACCGCCGGGTCGGAAATTAGATAGTGAGCCCAAGATTCTGTAATGCACAATACATCTGCGTCAAACTCTAAGGCCACATTCGTTATTTGTGCCATATTTTGTACGACTGATCTTGCGCTAAGAGAAGCTGTACTGAGCGTTTTCCTAAGATGTAAGTTCCACCCATCATTACTGATAAAAAGGAAGAGCTGGTGGTGAAAAGTAGGCTGTAGGGAAGAAGTAAAGGGTGGGAAACAAAATTGCTGCGGTCTGAAATTTGTGGTGATATTACCACTGACTGAAGACGTAATATTGTATGGAAACATATTTAGTCGGAATCCGCGAAGAGAAACGCTTCAACTCCTAGACAGCGACCTGCAGACCATTGCCCAGTGGTTATGCACGTGGCGCCTTTCTCCATCTTCGCATATTGCTCAATCATGGTGGTTGCGATGACCACCATCCTCAAATATGTATTGGCGGTTACGACATAACCGTGTTTGACTTCGTTAAGGACCTGTGTGTATCATGCTCCATGGGTCTTTATCTTTCGAAGGGCTGCGTTCTGATTGTCTCCAAAGCACGCAGAACGACCGGGTTTATCCTTGGAAACTTTAAAACCAGCAATACTATAATGTGCCGTTATGAAATGTACGTTTAAACTGGCCTGGAGCACTGTTCGTTTTTGTTTAGCCTCATGAGTGCTCGTGAGCTAAAAAAAAGACACAATCCGTCCAATGTTTTCTTGCCAAGAGAGCTTTAACCTCTGAACGCCGATACCTAACCTATCAAGGACGTTGCGGGCTTAAAGACCTTGATCCCTTGTTGTTTCGCCGATTGCAAAAGGGACTAGTTTTACTATTTAGGCTTTTAAACAATCACACTTTCCACCCGCTTACTTCATTGGGAGATCTTGACCAACTACAATGAAACGATCATCGTCGGGTCTTTGTATTTCTTCCCTGGCACGTACCGTTGAATATCGTCGGTTCTTTTCTGTGAACCCCATTGCAATTTGTAACAGATTACACAGGAATGTAAAATTTCTGCAGAATTATTCTTTGCGTAAGAGAACTATCAATCGTTTTTCATATTTAGAAAAACTTCCACAAATTTTGGATGCTGAATCCACCGACTTAATTTGCCGTAATGATGGGGTTCGTGGTCTCTGATGCCCCTGCCCGGTCATACCCGATGAGAAATAGTGCTGAAACTACGGCCCACAACACTAGGACATTTTCTTCAGCCGACAGCGAGTAATTGTCCTTCGATGCTTCTGTTTCGTTTAGTTCCAATATCACGGAAAGGAATGGAGATTGAAAATATTCGATGCAGTGTTACCCATCCCTTTCCGGACTACCGGCATTTCATGGGTAACAGTGTTTTTTCACCTGAATTACCTAAGCTATACAAAAGCACCATCCTCTGTATTTACTCATCGGGAGTTTTTCGCTGCTAGCGCGATCCGTACTTTATCTTTCTTCGACAGTGCATCGAATACTATTACTACTACTACTACTACTACTACTACTACTACTACTACTACTACTACTACTACTACTACTACTACTACTACTACTACTACTACTACTACTACTACTACTACTACTACTACTACTACTACTACTACTACTACTAATACTACTACTATTATTATTATTAATTCGTCCGGGGAATTCTCGCAGCACTCAAACATTCCATATGAACTGTAAGCATAATATTTAAGGACATTTTTAGTTTGTACGATAAGCAAGACCAGCTGAAATGAAAATGATTAAAAACATCAACTCCTATGAGTTTTGGGAAAATTATCTGAAAATTTGAGTAAAAACGGAGAAGTGGGGTGCAGTCTTCTGCAGAAGTCATTCAGCAAAAGAAGAAGAAAGGCTAGTTACCGGAAAAATCTGTCAATTTGTCTTGACTTGAAAATCCCTGAAGTTCACCGTCAGAGAAAGAAGTGCCAGCAGAAGGGGTGGCAGTTAATGCAGGGTGTTTCCCAATCCACAATAAGAAACATAGGAATGGAGACGGCTACGACGGCTCTGTATGTCGATTCCAAAGGCGATGCACCGATTGGCTGATTTCTTATTCAAGGTCCGGGCTCCATTTAGTTCTCGGCCTTACTTGCTTTCCGGCGTGAGCGATTATCTTGGAGGCTGCAAAGTCAAACTCTCGACCCGTTTTGATGGCGCAAGCGGCTAATGGTGAGAATTCATCAGCCCATCTAACAGCCCGAGCTTCGGCTGAGAAATCAGTCTGTCGATGTATCGATTTTACACCTGGCACACATGGCTTCGAATAGCCGCCTTTACATCCGCAGCACTGGTCGCTGGTTGGCAAATGCCTACTATGACCTTCATCTGTTCCTTTGATGCATTTGTACCCAAATATGGGCTTCTGCACGAGTTAAAAACCCAGATAAATAAGGAAGTGTTCCCGGTACCTAACCAGTTTTCCTCTCCCTTACTAATACGCATGCCTGAAATTCGAGCACTCCTCTCCATTCACAAAAGTTGTTTCCCGGAAAAAGGAGATAGTGCCAGTAATAAGTAACCTCCACATGCACCGAAAACATAATCTGCAGTCAAGAAATGCAGGGTGCGTAGCCGGTGTTCAATTCTGCTGCAGTATCTGTCAAAATGGTTAGCAGATGTTCTAGCTTCTAAATTGATGAAAGACTGAATGGTTCATAGTGGAGTGCTCTAAGCCGCTATTTGGAACGCCTCTGAATGCATACAACTTCTCCGACACCAACGCTCTGTGACCGAACCAACTGCCAAGGCAACTGAAGCGGACTAGAGACGATTCTGCCAGAAACTTTCCGAAATAATTCTCTTTTGCCGACGTTATTGTAAACTACGCAAATCCATTCCTCACAGCCGAAATCCATCTGTTTTGATTAGTCCTCCCCGCACCGCATATGGAAAACCATTGTTCTTAACCTAAACAGGAAAAGACGCGTCAACTTCGGTCCTAATAATGAACTTCTACCTCGCTATTCAAAACTTAATCTGCATCAAAATTTAAACTCCCTGTCTCGACATACAGTGTGCGTTGTGATTGTATGAGTAACGCTGACGTGCGGACGATCAGATTGCCCTTCTGTTTGGACCTTAATACAGTCTCTGACTGTAACGCTTCAAATGCACACATGGGTGTTCTGTAGTCGTGTCAACCTCAGTCACGACGCAGCGGCCGAAGTCGTCGAGGGTAGTGTGGGGGCCGAAAACTTCGAAGGCAGTACAAACGGACAACATGAAGCACTGGAATGACTACTGGCTTTGAGCGAATTAAATACATTTGTTAGACACGCCGCCGGACTTTTCTAGACCACACAATATAGTTGGAGTTCGACGAACACAAGTATATGTATAATATGGACAAAAGAAAATTCTTACATACAGTAATAATTAATGGAACAAAAAGAACGATTTACTTTAGAGAGGTGGTCTGTCTGAGTAGGGAAGTGACAATACCGTATATGCCAAACAACCTCGGTGTAATGCGGCACTGTGAACAGCCGCAGGGAGGGCAATGGCAGGTTCAAACGTGGAATGCGAGCTGGACGTGCTTCGCGGCGATTTTTGCGCGAAGGAAGTCGTGCTTGAGTGGGTAAAAGACACCGGGTATTTTCGCCGACACGCGGTTACACAATCTCCATCCTGGATCCGTGCTAAAAGTTCCCACTTCATTCAAACAGCCTAGTCCGATTCGTAGAATGCTTGAGCACTACACTGCAAGAACTGGAGTGGGCGAAAGTCACAAGCGCCAATAGGTACACCGTACACCAAACAGCAGAATAACAACCCTTTCAATTTGTAAAGACGTATAATAAAAATGGAATAATAGCGAATGCCAAATATTGCATCAAACGACAGCAATATTGACGTTAATCGGGGAAAAATCTAATTAGGGTAATAAAGGAAGGATATCCGCCAGCAAAGGAGCCTAAATAACTAAACAGAGGAGTCAGCGTCAGGTTTAGGTTGTTTGGAGAAACCAAAGCTGTACTTTGAAACCAACTTATAGTTGTCCTCCTATGGGGGCAAATTTCTTGGACGCCAGTTTGTTACTCGGTTGTTAGTTAATAAACCAACTTCTCTTAATGCTGCCTTTTACGCACAGTCTACCCATTAAGTTGTTCTTACGAGTGGCATCAGTTTTGTTAGGGACTTCAGTGGTAAAT